CTGCGTAAATTGCTGTTGGGGAGATTGGGGGGAGTCTCATATTGCGACGACGATTAGGACGCCGAAGATGAAAACTCACTGGGGTCTACGCAACAGGAAGCAATGTAGCCCCTATCGTATCCGGTTTAAGCCGGAACCATTCCGGATATGCACCCACTCCATGCATCCGTTGCATCTCACCGAGACCGATCTGTGGTGGATTCGATTACGACAAACGGAGCAGAACCATGGTCCGGGGTTGGTCTCGATCCCGGCTCGGACCAAGAGAATACGGAGCAAACATTCCGGGTAATGTTGCTCCCACATCAGAAAAATGGACGAACACGAGCATGCTTTTGCTGGGTTGGCGGCCCCTGGTCGGAGATTTGTACCTCCGAGTCAATCCGGTACATAGAACCGGCCGCCCAGCAGAGGCAGCGGCATTACCAAACGAGTGAGATGAGCTACGCCGTACTAACCCTAATAACCCCAGAGTCAGGAAACTTACTCTGGAGGTAAGCAGGTTAGTAGGTGAGCATAAGCGGAAGAAGTGGCTATAACATCTGAAGCATTGCAACAGTAGTACCGGAACGAGTAAATTGTGCGCAAAGGTTAAGTCGCTCTCGAACCCTGGGAAAAAGGACGATCGGACATCTGTCTCATTTAACGGCGTAGAAGTGACAGATCCGAAAAGAGGTGCGCGTGTTATGTTAACCAGCAGTTTGTAGACCACCCGGAGAGTGACAGGGCTAAGAGAAGGATCCTTCGAGCCGAGGAGGTACCACCACAATTTACGTTGGAAGATGTTGCACATATCATCAGACAAGTCATCCAAAGCGCTTGGTCCTGACGGAATCTCTATGGTGATGTTGAAGCAACTGGATGAATCAGGAGTTGAGTATCGTACAAAGCTCCTCAATCTGTCGTTAGACACCCCGGTAGTTCTCGATGCCTGGAAAATTGGCAGGGTGATCCCGCTACTGAAGCCAGGCAAGGATGCCAGCAAAAGTGATTCATACAGGCCGATATCACTTTTGTCACCAGTAGCAAAGACGCTTGAGGCTTTATTCCTCCCCAGCATAAGAGAGTGTTTCCCAGTAGCCGATCGTCAACACGGATTCTGAAAATTGCACAGCACAACAACAGCTTTGCACGCCATTTCCACACATGTCAGCAGAGGTCTCAACCAGAACAGGCCGTGCAATAGAACTGTTATGGTGGCGCTTGATTTATCAAAGCCTTTGATACAGTCAATCGCGCCACACTGTTCGAGGACATTGAGCGCACCGCCCTCCGGCCAAGTTTGAAACGTTGGATAGTAAACTACATGTGTGGACGCTAGTCGTACATGGAATTCAGAATTCCGAGTTGAACAGGGAGTTCCTCAAGGTGGGGTGATATCTCCGGAACTGTTTAACCTCTACCTTTCTGACATTCCACGCCCTCCAGACGGCATAGAGATTATAACGTACGCAGATGATTGTACGCTCGTGACCTCCGGACCCATTATTGATAGCATTTGCGATCGGTTAAACGCTTACCTTGTTGATCTTACTGCCTTTTTTACTGGAGGAATATGAAGATATCCGCCACTAAGTCGACGGCCACACTTTTTATCACATGGACTGCGGAGATGGGGCTATCCTTGAATGTGCAGGTCGATGGTGCTATAATTCCGACCACGAACTACCCCAAGGTATTAGGGGTCACATTCGATAGCCTCTTTAAGTCGTCCGCGCATACCACAGCTATCTGCGACAAGATTAGAATTAGGAACAAGGTCCTCAAGTCTCTGGCCGGCAGTACTTGGGGAGCTGATAAGGAAACCTTGTTGACCTCTTACAATAGGCCGGTCAGTGGTAAACTATGCGGCTCCGGTGTGGTCCGCCAACGTCAGTGCTACTTAGTGGAAAAATTTTCAGTCCTTCCAAAATACTGCAACAGGCTGCCTTCTCATGACACCTGTCGATCACCTACATGAGGAGGTGAAGGTCCTACCGGTGCGACAGCATAACAAAATGCTGTCAATGCAATACCTGCTTGGGTGTTATACACAAAGCTGTCCACCATCTTGTGGATAGGAAACCTCCGCCCAGGCACGTTAGAAAATACCTTCATGATCTAGAGAGAGAGGTACAGAGGTATAAGAGAGAGCCTCTAGATCAACAGGCCTATCAAGCGGGACTGAATAGTATTCACTCTAATGCGGTTTCAGAAGCCATTTAAGGATATAGAGTGAATACAGTGCTAGGAGACCATCCCCCTCCCGTCGCAGCTGAAGAACGAGAGCTGCCCCGACAAACCCCGAGTAGTTTTGACTCAATTACGATCCGGATGGTGCAGCCGCCTAAATTCCTACTGGGCGACGTGCAGAAAATCTGCCCAGCTTGTGGCACAGGCCCACATGGCACGCTGCACCTAATTCGCTGCCCAGCCAAGCCTACTCACCGAACACAGATGTATGAGCTGCTACAACAACAATAACCTAACACCCGCATCGCTGTTGACTCATCCAGTACAGTTTTTTGAATTATTTACAGAAGATATAGAGAAGAATCAATCAGAACAAATATAGCAGAATGATCCGCTACAACAACAACACCGGGTGGGTGTAATTTAATTTTTTTTTGTAATGTTCATTGAATTCCCTACCGTGTTTGCTCGTATTGAATAAAGATTGGATGGAAATGTTGCTGAAGAAGTAATGTGTTGAGTTCGAGAATATTTCAGGTTAACTAATTTCATCCCACCATTGTCATTATTAATATCGCTGTCTTTCCCAAAGAAAAATCAGCAACATTTTGAAAATTGTTTTAATCCAGTTTCTTATAAAAAATCTAGATCTCCCTAGACGCGTGTGTTAAAAGTTTGAAGGTTTTTACTACTTGCCGGACCGACGTACAGCGCCACGACCTTGGCCAAAAATTATCAAAACCAAGTGCCTCGTATTTTAATTTTATTGATGAGAACTGATAGAAAATATATCAATTAGAAGAAATCTGAATTTTGGTTTTGATATGCCAAGCACTTTTTTTAATTTGACTATTGTAGTTAAATCGATTTTTTGCCCTTTTCTGTCAAAAATTAATATAGTATATTATGGTTAGCTATATAAAAATTTAAAGAATCGGTCGCTAAAAATGCAATTAGTAAGAGTTGAGAATAGAGATGTCTTAAAACGTATAAAGTTTCCAGCGGATAAAGTTTCCAGTTGCTGATGAACGCGTTATCATTTTCTGTTACCACCTCAATAAGAAATATAATATCCTGCGAAATGGATGGAAGTGATGGATGGTAATAGGTTATATGTTATGTTTACACTTCCAAAATTTGCGGAGGACAGAGTGGAAATGTGAATTATCAATAAAAGGAAAACAAAAATTTTAAGTATTTACATAACATTGTCTTTAAATTGTAAAAAAATATTGTCCTAACCGAGAAAGAGTACAGGTTTAAAAAATTGGCTCGGTATGGTTCATTTGATATAGAATTTGTAAATTTAAAGGTTATACTTATTCTACAAAATATTTAACAATTAATATTATGATCTAGAAACTTAATAACTCTACATTATGTGGTCGCTCACGTATATTTCCTATACGAAAAATTAAGCCTGAACAAAACACCGGTGAATAGGTGAACTTGTTTTATCGATTTTGGCGGAAGTCTTAACACCATTTTGTTTTACTATTGTCGATGATGATGCCGGGCCGAACACTCAATACCCATCCCAATAAATGAAGAAAACTTTAAAAATAAAGTATTCGGATTTAGTATTCAAACGAACTTCATTTTGAACTGGAAATACTAGGAGCTTGGTTGGAAAATTTGTTAAAAACTACACATATACTAATGAGGATATTCCAAACCTTGAACATTTTTTGCTGCAGGGGTTGCTGTATATTGTGAGTTTCAAGTACTTATATTGAAATGAAATGTAGCAAAAGTCTTCAAAATTCCCGATATCAGGAAGTACCGTTATATGGGGACTATAGAAAAATGTGGATCTATATAGACAATGTTTTGCCACGGGGTGCAGAATCTCTAAATCTATATTATATGTATTAGAAAATGTGGCTTAAATCGTAAAAATACCGAATATAGGAATGTACCGTTATATGAGGGCTATACATATACATATATATATATATATACATATATATCCTGGATATACCTTCCTAACATTTTATCCTCGACATAATAAGTCAACAATTAGTACTTGTATCAAAATGCATCCACTTCTGCCAAATACTTCTATTTTTGGCACCTTTTATATGAACTCGCGACATAGTGCGACGTATGTCCGAATTCTGAACAATTTGTCTGAGGGACTTATATAAGTGAATGGAGTGCCTTTCTGTCTCTACAATGATTGTGTAATACAATGATTGTATATATATATATATATATATATATATATATATATATATATATATATATATATATATATATATATATATATATATATATATATATATATATATATATATATATATATATATATATATATATATATATATATATATATATATATATATATATATATATATATATATATATATATATATATATCGGTCGAATTGTGTACCCCCAACTTATCTATGAATTTTATTCTATCCGAAATATTCTAATACGATATGCTGTTTTCGGATATGACATATGTGCATTGTATATATTTATTGTTACCCACAATATGACCACTTCCACTTTCCCATAATTAGAATAAAAATTATCCACTGAACACAACTTGCTCGTAAGATCCATAACCCGAGAAATATGGGCATCCATCAAGTTGTTTATATAGCTGTAATAAGGACATTAAAGCAAAACTGTGGTGATATTTAAAAAAATGCAGACTAAGTATGTAGTCCCAACTTTTGCTTGAATTGTATTGTAGAACTTAGACTTGGTGTTCTTCATTATAGTTGTGCTCTGTCGAGCAAACCTTTTCATATGTACTTAGATCAAAAATATAATATAAATAACCTCTGCATTGCTTATTTTATCGTATTCAAAATTACCTTTTGTAGTAGGAATATTGCTACTGCAAACAAGCAAACATCTACTAATTTCGGAGGGAAATTGTACACTTCACTGTGATAAATAAATATACCAATAATTAAGGATTATACATTTCAGGACCACAATTAAAAAAGTTGTAAGGAACTCTTGTTTTGATTTTGTATTTCTACTAAAGCTATGACGTCGACTGAAAATGTTAACGCCGTTCATTTTACAAAGCTGTCCACATCAAAATAATTTTAAAATCGTCGAAATTAAAAAAAAAAAACGCTGAAATAATGATGCAATCCATGGTACAAACACAAGGTAGCGACAATGGTACAATAAAGTCAAGGTAGGGCTATGATATTATTTGACTTTAATTATTTTCTATTTACTTGGCTTAATATGTCAACTTTATTTGTTTATGTGTGTGAATTCTTTTCAATAATAAGACAAGTAAGCAAAGGCTATAGTCGTGCGGAGCCGACTATGTGATACCCTACAACACAACAATATATTTTAAGCTTCCTTTTGTTCAAATCCGTTTTGGAAGATTTCGCTTTTGGAATTATGCCACGGATCACTGCCCAGATATTAACCTTAGCATATTGGCCAGGGATATTTTTCCAATATTTATGCACTCCGTCATGCTGTTAGTTGTTGCGGTCTATTATTATAATCCAATGGTCATCCAAAATGCTAGAATTCTTCCCTGTCCCTAACTCTCTTCTCAGGCGTGTCGATTGGCTTCAATTGTGTGATGAGGTAATCGTTTCTGTTTTGGTTCATTTGAACCCCTAAATATTTTGCGATCATTTCCAAAAGCAAGAGGCCCCTCTGTATATCTAAATTTAGACTAATCTATATGATTTACTTGTCTACGATGTTTGACTACATTCGTCAAGGAAATCAGGAAGCCAGAAGTTCGCATTTTGTGTATTTTGAATATAGCCTATAAATAATGCTGGTATTTTTCCACACAAAAGTAGTGGTCCATTCTACCCATTGTCCTAAACTCTAACTTCGTGTGAAATTTCGTGTGCTTTGGTTTCTATTTGTGACCTTTATAACGGCTGAAAAATCAGGAACATTTTTTGTTGTTGGTCCATTATATCCTCTAAATATATTGCGGACATCTTTGAGAACAATAGGCCTAGGCCTAGCGATAATTGCAATCTGCATAGAATAACCCCGCATGCGATAAGAATTATGAAAAAAATAATATAATATCGCAAAATACTACAAAATCTATATTAACATCATTATTGACACCTTTTTATGCGATTTTTTTAGATTTTATTCTTTTATGCCAAGAGGGCATTTTGAATTGACAAAATTTTCATGAGCTATATGCATTCTAGCTAACATCCCCTTCCTTTTTATATAAACATTATATATATATCGCTATATATATACGATATATTTACTATCGGTATTTACGTAACGGTCAAAATTGACCTCTTCGTCTATTTGTGATTTCGCCAGGATTAAAAATATTCGCGGTTTAATGGAAAATTTGGCTTATATACATTAAAATCACACATTTGATTGGATTTCGTATCGTTTTGATATGCGAAACAATGGTGTTACCTCTTCAAAAATAAACACAAAATGAAATTGTATGTGACATGTCCACAAACGTTACAATCGGTTGGTACAACATGCCAATATATCAAAAAAATTTGATTTTTTGTACAACCGAGACACAACTTCGTACAACCGGGCCACAAACAATACAATCTGGAATACAACCTCTCCCAGTTATACAACCAGTTGTATCATGTATGGCTTGCGTTAGAATAATTTTGTACAAGAACATTGACAACACTTAAATTGGTGAACAATGTTCGCAAAACAGATGTATGTCAAAGGTATATCAAAACGTCTTAAATGATAATTTGCGACAAACATAAGTTGTGTTCCAGTACTTTTTAGTAGTAAAACTAGCAGAAGAGAGAACAGTTCGAAATGTCATTCTCATTTAGGTTTGCTCAAAAAATAAGGGAACGGAAAATTAGCAGAAATGCGATAAAATGTCAAAATTCCAAAAGTAAACAGCGTAAATCGGACTGGTGAAACCTTACTGAAAAGGGCGCCAACATTTAAAAAATGAGTATTGAAGACGATAAGTTAAAATTATTAATTTATAATAATAATTAATAATCTGATTCCTCATTCAGCCAGTACTCTTCACTGCTGGAATCATCCATCAGTTGCTCCATATATTCTCTTTTTTTTTTGCACGACAAATATAAGTTTTTCCTTTAGTTTTCAAGTTGATCATTTTCTTTATTGAAATGTATCAATACATTTTTCAACCTTATTAGCCCTGCCAATTAAATGTCAAATTTACAATATGCACATTTCTGCTCGGCCAAATTCATGTAGCTAAAACAAGCAGAAATGTGCACCACTCAGCGCCATTTTTTTCTCGAGAGAGCTGCAAGTTTTGCTAGTTTTTGGAGTACGGGAACGCGTTGTAGCAGAATTAGTGCTAATTAGTACTAATTTGCAGGTTCTGGAACACAACTTTAATATGCCATCAAACACAAGCTATTGGTCGTTCAACATACTCATAATCTTTATAATACATAGGCCCGTTCTTTTATCTTTTCTTTATAGTCCACTTTTGTTATTCCTTACTTTAGGAAAAGTGAAGTATAAAGTTCACATTATTGGGTTCTCGTTATTACATCCAAGGTAGATGTACTAGGTAATTGCATCAGCCCAGCTGACGGCACCATTAAATGTCAAAACAAATTGTTGTAATGAAGAATTCGCCCTAAATGAATGCAACAACAAATTTGTTTATGTTGTCTTCCCTAAAAGTAACTTTTTATAATATTTCAAATTATTTAAGAGCAAGTTAAGAGTGAAACCAGTAAAAAAATTAAAAGAAAGTGAAGGAAGGAGGTTAGAATGGAGTGCAACTTTAAGAATTAAGTTAGCACATCACGGGAAGTAGTGCAAGAATTCGACTCTTGTCATTTGCAGTTCCGGAAAACTTTCGTTTTAAACCAGTGAAATATAGTCATTATAAGTTTCTTGGTTTAAAAATATCACAATACTACAATTTATAATTATTTTACTCTTATTTGTTTTACAATAAAAACTTTTATTGCGACGTTCGTTTACGACGAGAGGCACACAAAATAATGCTAGGAACACAATTGGAGCGAACGACGAATTTCGCCCTACGCGGCGACAAAATGAGCCGCGAAAATTCGTCGTATGGAACACAATACCGACGAAATTATAAAACAGCTGATGAAGTTGTTTACTTTTTGCTCATTTGTTGACTACAATGAATTATACAAGAACACATAATTCTTTACGTTCTCTATTATAATTTCACTTATGTCCATCTTCTCTATTATAAATTCACTGATATCCATCTTCACTCAGGCGCAAGTACACAAATAAATAAACAAATTAATTATGTTTTTTTTTATACGAGTAACAGATAGTAGAGTGACCATAACAAATTTTAAAGTAAAAAGTAACTTTATTTACTAAAACACATAAAATTCGTACAAGTATGGCCACCTTGTACTGTTTTGTTCGCCGGTCGCCGGCGTATGAAATAGAAATAAAGCTAATTGAGTTCGCGGCGACCGACGAAATTTTCGCCGGTGCCGTGATTGTGTGCACTTCCATATACACATATGTGTTTTATTTTCGACGACGAACATACGCCGCGAAAAAATTCGTCGTTCGCTCCAATTGTGTTCCTAGCATAAAATGTAAACAAACACCTCGTTTCTGATGGGTTGAAACAAATTTGCCGCAACCTTTAAATATCATGGCGAATCTATGTTTTTCGCCTTAGATGCCAATTTTGACATTTGAGGGGACCACAAAAGTTGCTTTGTTGTAGCAATTCGCCGATGCGGTTACCTGTTAGATTTACCTTGATTACATCTTTCCTTTAAAATATATGCATATTTTACACAGATGTGCCAAGCTTTTTTAAAAGTAACTGGTATTCACTGCATTTTTCACAATGACATCTTCATTTTAGTTTAAAAATAATAAAAAATGCGAATTTGTAATTAATTTCGTGAAATAAATTTATAATTCAGTTCTTCAATATAAAATAAACGATTTGCGTTATACATTTTTTATTTAAATAAATTTTGTTGTTATGGCCATATTATCAATAAAAAATATGGCAACATGAATTCAGTAAACTTTACGTTAAAAGCATGGTAGAAGAATATAGGTAGACGCGTCGACACAGCTGCTTGGACAATGAACTGTCAAACCAATTTTGGAATTGAAAATGTCGAATGAAAAATTATTTAAATTTGTAAAAATTGTTGAAAAACATGAATTATAATAGCCTCCGATTGATGTAGTATATGAAAGTATAAAGTCTTTGTAAAATGTTGAACTCAATTCATGGTAGAATTAAGAAGGTAAAGTCATGCAATCATATAATTACAACTTTTTTCAAAAGTATTAATTTGACAACACCTCATTGTCAAAATTTATGTTTACAAATTCATAGTATACACACAAATCAGAGATGGGAGCCTTTTCTATACATTGAAGTTTGAAAAGGTAAGTTACAGAAAATGCAGAGAGGGGAATGCTTATTTGAAATGACTTTACCTTCTTAATTTTACCATGACTCAATTCGGGAATTCAAGGATTTTTGTATCTTAATAAACTGGTTAAGTCTGAAAATGTGGTATAAACTTGAAAGCTTATGTGTCTAGTTTGGATTAACAGTTAACAATTTCATTAGGGACCGCATCGAAATAATAAAACAAAACTGTCTAAATGTATAGTTCAAATTCAATTGAAGTTTATTATTTAAATTATTTAGATGACATAATGTTAATAGTTTTATAAGAATACCGGGGAGATCAACATTAGAATAATGTCGATTAACGTTAACATTTTAATTCTTATAATGTGTCAACAATATGGCCCGTGTTCTGATCTCATAGTGTATAAAAAAGATTTTCTTGATTACATTTCTAAATTTCCACATAGTTCAACAAATTTTTATGTGCGTCGAATTCAAACTACAACAATTTGGTTCACATATTACAGCATTACCTTAAATTCGACGTTTTTCACCACACATGTATTCATACGTCGGGGGTAATTTTTAAGTTGAGAATTGACAGAAAATTGTCTGTGCAGGTCCACGTCTTTGTATGGGCCCCATATAACGGCACCTCCCTGTATTCGGTATTTTGATGATTTTAGCGTCATTATTCACCGGAATTGTTTCAAACTACGTATTTAGAGCTCCTATTGGGAACTACAGTCTGTGACA